CTCAAAGGACAACTTATATTTTATTTATTTTCTTATTAAAGTTTGTTTAGAAAAGATATAAATTCCTAGTATTACATACCGACTACTATAACTTTAGGGAGATATTATTATTTATTTACCATGTTCATTTAACTTACTAAAAAATTATGACTCTATTTATTAAACAAATACAATCGACTCGATTGCTGTATTGAATTCAGTGAAATATCACCCAAATTTGCAATATTATATAGAGGTTTCATTTTGTTACACATTTTATACATTTTTATATATTTCATTATTGAGTTTATATACCAACAACATCATATTAACATTTTTAGCAAAAAAAAATATACCAACATCATCGTAACTTAGAGCATCATCATCCTTGATACAAGGAGAGTATCAGTTGAATAAACAAATATTAAAAACACACTCTCTCTTCATTTTATTTAACTTTATACCTTCTCTTTCATCCTTTTATTCAACTTTTATTAATTTTATATTCTCTTTAAATATAAAATTATTAAAAACATTTGATACACTCTTTATTTTTCTCTTCAAAAATATCAAAAGTATCAACTATTTGATACCCTCTCTCCAAAAATATCAACTATCTCTTTTCTTTACTCAAATTTTAATAATTTTATATTTAATGATATCCGCATTATATTACCAATACTCATGCTCTTAGAGAAGATATTTTCATTTCATTTTTTTTCCAAGACAGTTTTAACCATTTTGTTTTTAGTACTATTAAACATGCACCACTTTTTTGAGAAAAAAAAAACATGTACTTCTTATTTAAACATCAAATGGAAACATTTTTGTTTAAATTTTCTGTATTTAAATTTTTTGAAAAAATCTTTATTTTAACCGTTTAACTCTGCGAAGATTTTATTTTACTATTCTATTTTCGTTTTTGTCAAAAAAACTAAAAAAAGAAAAATCTTTACAAATTCTCTATACATTAATTTTTCGTTAAAATGGCTAAATTAGAAAAACGGAACAAACGCGGAAACAAATAGAAACAAACGCGGAAACAAATAATTAGTGTTTTTTGCAGTAATCGAGAAACCTCCTTCACATTGTATAAAACTTTCCCACTTCTACCATTTTGATTTTTGAAAACGCAAAGACTCAAAACATTTTTATTTTATTTTACAGAGAGAAAGAGAAGAGAGACAAGACAACCCACGATCCGCCATAGCTGTACAGATCCCCACAACAAACAACAACAAAAACCCTAAATCATGCCTTCAGGTGCTAAAAAAAGAAAAGCTGCTAAGAAAAAGCAAGAAGAAGAATCTTCTTCTACTCAAATCAATCTCAAATCCAACAACTTTGGTGAGTTTTTACTTTATTTTCACAACTCATAATCCCACTTAGCTTTTAATTGTTTGCCTCTCTGTATCTCAATCATTCAATCACACACACGTTTAGGCTACCTTTCTTGTTTTGTTTATATTAAGCTTCGGCTTGAAATCTGAAGTTTAGTTTTTACTTTGTTCTCTTCTCTGTTTTAGATTCTTAAAGTTTGGATTTTTATTGTTGTCCTCATTGATCTGAACAAATGGGTATTCTTTTTTACTTCCTTGTTATTCATCACTGTGTTTCGATTTGGGTTTTATGATTCGAGTTTTAGGGATTTGAAGCTGTAAATCTTTGGGGTTTTCCGACTAATTTTGGCATGTTCTGTTTCAGGATGGTTTTGTTTGTCAGATTCATGATTTTTGTTTGTCTCTGATGCTTTTGATTTGATTGATTACTATTTGTTTCATTATCTTTGAGGTTTGGTTCTTTGCATTGTAGATTTGACTTGAATAGTCAGTGATAAGTCACTATTGTAGTGAAGTTGATTGGATTTTGTTAAACCGATGTGCTAGATTCGAGAAGCGATGATAAGAAAGCAGGAAAGGAACCTGGATTGGATTCCAATGAGCGCATAGAGATTACTGATTCAAGCCATGATCATGACAAGAGCTCA